GGATGAGGGAGAGCCGGGAGCCACAGCCATCGAGCGAACGCCCGTCGAACGACAGGGCTATCGGGTGGATGCCATCGGAAGTCCAAAAAGCTCGGTTGATACAAGCGCCTAAAACAGTCGATTGACGTATAGCGTTTCTGTAAAAAAAATTACAACAACTAAAAAGACTAAACAACCTGTTCGCTTGTTGGTTTCAGCCAGCCCAAATCAGCCAGCTAACAGTGTTTTCCTCTCACAAAAAACCAGCACCAGCCAGACCAAAGCACCAGCACCAGCACCAACCAGCGAACAGGCCCAGTTTGGAAGCCAAAATATAAATTCGTGATGTAACAATAAAAGGATGTACCAAGAGATATATAACTTAAATTTATGTTTCAACTAAATTAATATCAAACGCCCACAAAGCTACAGCACAATGGATGACAACACTTATCTTGGTATTACTAATTGAAGGTCCCAAATGAAAGCCTTTATGCTAATCGTACAAATTCTCCAAAAACTCATAAAGATATATCCATGTATATGGTAGACTCTAATCCCTACTAATAATAACAATGAGTGAATATATCATATTTTCTAAATAATTATCCGCATCTACCATTATAAAAAACATAAACCATAAATCTGCATCTAAATTACCCACCTTTGTTGATATAGGATATAACCTAAGTAACCACTAGATTTACATCTAATTACCTACATACCATTAATGGCATCCCAAAAATACTTGTGAAACAAAAAGGGGAACCATATGGAGACCTGACCCCTTGAGCTTACGAGCCAAAAAAGTTGACGATTCCAAAATTTTCCACTGAAATCCTCTCACTTGATAAGTTTAAGTTCGGTTGTTCATTCATCGATAATGCACACATCTGAAACCACGCTCCATAAATATACTCCTGCTAAAAAAGTGAAAGTGAAATAAAATTTCAATGATACATTTTTTAGGTCATGTTTGGGACGAGGACAAGTTCCATGCGGCCCATGCAGTAGCCTTGTGGAGCACCTCGGGCAGGGAGATAATTTAGATAGTTTCGAGAGTTGAGGGGGGCAAGTTAGTCTGTTGTAGAGTTTAAGGATAATCAGGTTACAACCATGGTTCAAGAAGTTAAAAAGTGGGTTTTTTCTTGTAGAGAAAGGGACATACTTAGATTCATAGTATTAATAGTTAGCAGCTAAAATTAGCAGACGATGATCCAAATAGACCTACTAATAGACATGCTAACTATTAGCGAAGGTGTTAACAATTAGTTCATTAGTTAGTAAAGATATGCCGCTAATATATTGTTCATATATACAAAACAACTATCTAACCACCTACTAGAGATGGGTCGAAACAGCCTCTTCTAATAATTAGCTAGGAGTAGATAATAATTTAGACAGCTTTTGAGAGTTGAGATTGAGACTTGAGAGGGGCAAGTTATCCAGCTGTAGAGTGAGCGTGCGGTGCGTGACGAGGCCCAGCCCGTGTTGGGGTTAGCCACCAGCCCGGCCTCGAGGGATCCTAGAGGCAGGCGCGTGGTCGTGGGCCGGAAGCAGTCGCCCTCTCCCGCTCTGGTCACCCGCTCAGGCTCAGCGACGTCTTCAGCCATGTGCCCATGTGGAACCAATTGGGCTAGGCAAAGGACAGCCTACCGCGAGCACGAGACACCAGGCGCAGTCGGTCGCGCGGAGCGGAATTCGCCGCGGCGGCTTTTCCTTTCACGGGCCGCGGCGGACGGCGCCGCATGTCGAGTAGCAGAAGTTTCTCAAAAAAAAAAAAAAAAATCTAAACTTCCTCCGACCTTTGCTCATGTGTCTATTTTGCCTCTGCACTATGAAACCAGGTATTTAGTATGCTAAACTTCTTCAAACCGGGCATTTAACCCCTAGAGCCCTTGTTTGGATGTGCATGTATCCACTTCAACTCACATGTGTTGAAGTTGATTGACATGTAATTTAGTTTAATTTCACTCCAATCCACTTGAACACATGTGAATTGAGACAAATACATGCACATCCAAACAAGACGTGAAGTGGTTTTGGTTCCTGGTTTTACCAATGTGGCAGTCCAAACTGGGGCCACAGTGACATGTTGGCACTCAGGCCCATGTGTCGTAGAAAGGGGAGGTGATGTAGGCGCGTTGGCGTTCCTGGCGTGCGCGCACGATCGGTGCTGCTGCTCTGTCGGGGTCGCGTGCCCACCGTGGGCGTGTCCTCCGCGTCCGCCGCAGAGGAGGTGATGCGGGTGTGCGACCTGGCATTTGCGAGCCGGCCCACGAGCGCTATGGCCAAGGCAGAGGAGGAAGATGGGGAAGCACAGGTGGCGTTCGCTAGCAAAGGTTCTGTTCGGCCGGCTAAAAAAAACTAATTTCTTGTGAGAGAAAAATACTATTATTTTGCTGAAACGCTTTTAAGTTCAAACGAACGGGGCCTAGGATGCCGCCGACGGCAGCGCGGATCCAGGATGCACACACGCAGGAAGCCGCCGTCGCGCTCCGCGTGGTAGGCCGCCACCTGGCCCACGCCGAGGCCCAGCAGCGCGGCGAGCGCGTCGAAGCAGGTCGCCCCGTACACGCGCGAGATCCAGGATGCCACACGCGCCGTCTGCGCCCCGTACGTCGCCCTCGCGAGGTCGAGCAGCCGAGCAGGTCGCCTAGCAGCGGCGGCGGCACGGGCACGGGCAGCTGGTGGAACGGCGCAGTAGCTCGTCCGCGCGCTCTTGTCGCGAAGCAGGCGCCCCGGCCAGCGCGGAGAGGCGCGCGAAGAGCGCCGCGGGGACGCCGTGGTTAACGGGGCGATGGGCAGCCCGCCCCATGTCCGCAAGCCCCGCAAGCGACACGTGAGCCGCAACCGCCGCCTACAGGCACCTGACTTCGTTGCTGCGGCGTGGAACGCATCTTCTGTACGAAGCTGCAGCAACAAAATCAAGCAATCAGCTGCAGGTGCCCAGGATACTGCTCTGGTTTCTGGCCGACGCCCGCGTGACGTTCGCGTCCTACAACGTGGCCTCAGGCCTTCGACTGCCAGACGGAAGTTCTGCTCGTGTGGCTCCGCGGCGCGCTCAAACTCCTCCCCTCACGCACCGTCCCCACCAGGGCATGCCCAAGCGAGCCCTACGCCGCCTGCAGCGCAACGCGCTTCTCCTTCGTGGCCTTGAACAGGACGGAGACGGCCGTGAGTAGCACCCCGCGTTCCCCGTCCGTGAGCACGGCGGCGTGGGCGGAGAGCTCGCCGAGCCGCTCCTCGAGAGCCGTCATCCGTTTCCCCTTTTATATGGCGCGTGGGGCCCGTGCGCAACAGGTCAATGTGAGCCAAGGTGAACCGCCACGTCAGCAAAACCAGCAACCAAAACCATTAGAAGGGGTTAAATGTCTGGTTTAGAAAAGTTTAAGGTGCTGGATACATGGTTTGATAGTTCAGGTAAAGTAGACACATCGATAAAGATAGGATGGTTAAGTAGATATTTTTCCAAACTTGGAACGTGGAATCAATCAACTCCAGTGCCGCGCACTGCCGTCCCCCGTCCCAGGCTCCCAGCTGCATACAGCACGTGCCAGACACAAAGGTGCGTATGCGGTCTGCGTGTGTACGTACACAGCACGTCGCAGCCAGAGCCCAGGTACAACAACGTGACTGTACGTGAGTAACATTTGTTGCAGACCCTTGCTTTGTCTCCTAGTACAACTGTATGTACAAATACTCTACTAGATCGGTAGTCGGAAGGGGCCTCCTGGCTCCACGTCCGGATCGGATCCTTATCCTTATCGATCGAGCTGTTGGTTGAGAAGTCAAGGACTCATAGCAAGCAAGCATTCGACGGTTGGGAATTCACCTTTTCGACTCGCGTCGAGCCACCATCACGACCAACAGAAATGTGTAATACCTGCACCACTCGTCGACTCCAATCGATCCGAGCCGTTGAAGCGGAGGAGATTTTTGCTGATCCGTCCAATCGCTGCCACTGCTTTCGAGCAGCCGGCCGGGGCACCACACCACTGCGGCAGCCTAGCAGCGCATAGGCATAGGCCGGCCATAGGCTGCTGCTCTCCGTCTCCGACAGCCATCCAATTGGCAATTGCCATCAGGCCCATCACCCCAATCAATCCCGATCCGCATCGCACAGGCGCTGGCTCGTCTGATGGCAACGTTTGTCCCCAGCCCTAGACGCTAGACGGAGATGAGCTCTCCTTTCCAGATTTTCCTCAGGCTTTGGATGATACACTAAAGATGCATTTCTTCTTCTCAACCGACCGTGTAATGTAACCTTCATTGCTCTGTTTCGATGTCTTTAGGGCAGTAATTGACTAATTGTGCAGGATGCAGCCGCTGATCTGAATGGTTTTCTGGCTGCTCTTACCTCTGAAGAGTGTTGCAATGCGCAGCAGCAAGATCAGATCAGATGCTTTCAGCTGGCTTTGGACTGAAGTCTGAAGATGATGATACTCTGCTAATCCTCCTTCCTGAATTAGGGGCATACATAAGCATAACGATGTTTTTACGTCTGTGGCTGCGTTTCACTTCAAACTTCTGCAGAGCTCTGCTCATGAAGCACAAGGCACACAATTACACAATCAAAGCAAACAGCCAGGAGCTGCCAATAAACAGAAGCAAAGGTGTCTGTAATTTTTCTCTTAATTCCATTGTCTTGAGAATTACAGCAAGACAAGAAGAGGCCGTGGTCACATACTCACATACATCATGCTGCTACAGATAACACAGCAGGAGGCAGGAAGGTTTGCAAGAACAGGTTCCCCCTCCACGGATTACATGACGATGAGTTATTCACATTATCACAAAAGTAGTATTACCGAATCTTGGCAGTGGTAAAAAAAGAGAGACTAAAGAGGCAGTGGCAAAAAAAAATTTAAAATTAAAATTATCAATTTCTATGGAGAGCGATAGCACTTGTTGGGCGGGTACGCATTGCTCCGCCGGATCATCATCAGCCACAGGAAGCGAGCAGCACGATCCTGTAGTACCAGTTCGGGGGAGTGCTCGCGGTTGGTCCGCGGCGGCGGCTAGAGGTGCAGCACCGTGTCGCAGCGCCAGTCCATCTCGTCGGCCGCCGGGTCCGGCACGTTCAGATCGAACGGCAGCGGGGCCGGCGGCGGCGCGGCGGCCTCGTCGCCGCAGCCCGGGCCCGACGCGCCGTCCTCGCAGAGAACCGACGACGAGGAGCCGCAGTAGCTGCGGCAGTCCTCCTCGGCGGCCGGGGCGGCTGCGGCGCGGAGGATCCCGGCGGGCGCGCCGCCGCCGCTCCAGGACTCGACGGTGCTGCTGTGGCTAGACGTCGCCGCCCCCGCCGTGGCGGCGGGGGCGGTGACGGTTGCGGGGAGCGGCGGCGGCGGCACCGCAGCGGAGGGGAAGTTGGTCCTGGCGGCGGCGCCGCGGATGGTCCTGGCGGCGGCGTCGTAGGCGCGGGCCGCGGCCTCGGCCGAGTCGAAGGTGCCGAGCCAGATCGGGGTCTTCCTGGCCGGGTCCCGGATCTCGGCCGCGTACCGCCCCGACGGCCGCCGCCTCACCCCGCGGTACTTCACCTCTGGCCCCCCCGCGTCCCCCGGCGCCGTCGGGACCGGCGGCGGCCTCGCCCGCCGCATCCCCCCTCGCCTCCTCCACGCGCTCTCCTCCTCCTCTTCCTTCCTCTCTGCCCTGCCCTGCCTGCCTGCCTTCTCGTGCGGCTTGTTGTGCCTTGTCCTCCTCGGCGACTCCGCGTTTGGCTTGGCCCGGCCCCCGAGTGGCCTTTCCTTTCCTCCCGCGCCTGCTCCTGCGCCTGTTTGGTCGGCAGTCGGCACGGCCCCGCAGAGGCTGACGCGCCGGGCCCGCCACGACCCGGGCACCGCGTCGGTCCGTTGGGTTGATTTCCCACGACCGCGTCAGGCGTCACCACGTCCACGTCCCGGGGGTGGGTCGGCTGCTTCTGCCTGCCGCGCCTGCGCCTCCTCCTCAATCCTCGCCACCGCATCGCATTCGCATCGGCATCGGCCCCGCCGCGTGGTGATGTGCTCGCCTCTCCCGCCAGACCCACTGGTGTGGCGTGGTTGGGCGCGCCGGATTTTTGCGATGCGACGCTTGCCGGCCTGGCCTGGGTGCGCCCGAGTGTGTCGTGCTGGTAGCCGCGGTGCCACTAGCGCGGGGGCGGCATATTCGCGCAACTGTGCTGCCTGCCTACCTGTGGCTGTGGACAGTGGACACCATCAGTTTAGTGCAAGCCAACGGGAGCTGAATTGGGATGGCTCCACTTTTTCCACGTGCAAAGCCAAGCCAGTGCGGTAATTAAAGATAAAAGTACTCACCGTTTACCTGTCTAACATTAACATCCATGCTCTTTGACCGTTTCGGAATGCGTGGAATCCATAGGGAAGACCCAGCTCATCTAGGCCTTGTTTAGATTGAATTTTTTTTAACCCGATAAATAGTAGCACTTTTGTCTTATTTGGTAAATATTGTCCATACATGCTCAAAAGATTCTTTTTCCACCGTTTCGGAATTAGTTTTTTCCATAGGGAAGACCCAGCTCATCTAGTAGGATTTCTGAAAAACAATATTTAGAGGATCTATAGGCAGAGGCCACCAAGGGAGACGGTCGACAACCGGTCCCACTTCATGGGCGAGCCCATTATCATGTGTGTGGAGTCAGCCAGACACCGTCCATCCAGGTCCAAACGATTTGCCCCGCACTCGTACGCAAAACGCGGCTAGCTGGGACGCCACAGGGCAGGGCAGGCAGCGGTGCGGCGCTGGTGCGTCACGCATCGTGTGCCGCCAGGACCAGCAACATCACATGGTCGCAAGTTATCATTGCACACTGTATCGCTTTTGCCGCCTGCAACTCTTTATCTCATCACGAAGGGAAAATGTATCACAGCGAAACGGTAACGGTACCACAACTCCTTCGCGTGCCGGCGTGCGGCAACCACGACAGAGCACTGACGCTGAAACTAACAGGCAACGCGCTGTGGCTCTCTGATCTGAATCCTCATGCAACCTCTCGGTTTTTGGTACAGCTGCGGACAGCTAGTGAGTAGTGACCCGTGACCGTCTACATCTCCCAGGACGTCCCTCCGCCATCATCAGACGTGACAGCTAAGGTAATCTTACAACCGACGAGAGGCAGGTCAGATCAGTTCACTCGTACGGGTTCCTGAAGTTCTTGAGGAGCTCCGGGATGTCGTGAGCGAGCATGTCGTCCACCGCCTGAACCATCTTGGGCTTCAGCTTCTCGAACTTGTCGATGCTGTATCCACCCAGCACCTGTTTGAAGTGCTCGACGTCGGGGAAGTCTCCGGCGGGGAGATGGTATTCCCTCTGCACCTGTTCCACCGGATCACGAGTATCAGTCACGTAGAGGGATGTTGGGCAAAAGAAAGAGGAAAAATGACAGTAACTTTGGATTTAGATGCCAGCAAATTAAGGTTAGTCGTAAATCTTCTGTTGAAATTAGACCCAGACATAAACATTCACATTCGGGCAATCAAGTTCTCTGTAATTACCTTTGTGAACTCCTCCTCTAAGTTGTCTATGAGTCGCTGTTGAGCCTTAGCTTTTCCCATCATTGCAGGCATCTCCTTCTTCAGATGGCCAATTATGTAAGCATGGATCTTGGCAGCTCGAGCACGCTTAACAAACTCATTGACCTGGAAGAAATGGTGCTGTTCATTTCCAAATTCCAGTACAGAAAGGAGTTCTGACAAATGACTCAACAACATTTCAACTTACCCGTCGATCACAGGCCTTCTTAGGAATGTCTTTCAGGTCACAGAGGAGGTCATCTTGCTCCCTCTCAAACAAGTCTTTTCCAATTGGTCCAACAGCTGAATCATTCACTGGCTTATCGTTAAAGGACCTGTAAATATTAGCATCAAAGTGTCAATCCAGTTAATGAAAAAATAGAAAGAAAAAAACCATTTAGTTTATACTTTATTGAACAACTGCTAACAGTTGTGAAGACTCAGCTACAACCCAATACAAAATTGAACCTCCATCAATATGCATTTTTTTAACTTATTGTACTAGACTTGTAAGTTGTAACACCTCCATTGCTTAAAAGTTAAAGAGGAGTAAGGTAACAAATAACAGGCATAAGAAATTACCCGATATACACACGCACAACCTCAGGAGTATTTAGCACTTTCCCAAGAGACCACATCAATGCACCGTACACTCTCATAAGCTGTAGCATAGAAGGGAAAAGTTATTCATCATACTAGACATTTTTTAACAAACAAAATAAAGCATACGCATAACAGGACATACAAATTGATTGCAAGAAAAAACTGTACCTGCTGTGTGTCAACTTGGTCGGCCTTGTTCAACACTACGCGTATTTTGTCATCATGCCCACGTAAGGATGAAATGACACGTTTGAACTCATCACTTATATCAAGCTTGTGAGGGTCAAACAGAAGAAGAATAAGGTCACACTTAGCAGCAAACCATGAGGTTACACCAGTGAAATCATAGCTACGTTGGGTCCGTTGCTTTTCTCCAGAGAGAACACCAGGAGTGTCCACAAAGGTGATATGCTCTAGCAGCTTCAAGAAACAAAGGAGGATTCAGTTTCTAAATGAATGCACTCTACATGTACCTGTATCAAACTAAAACTTACCGGATGTGGCATCTGAGAGCATTCAAACTTTGACAGAAATGCTCCCCCAAATGTTGTAAGACCAGTGAATGGCATGTCGGCTTGAACAGCAATAGTATTGCCAGGAATGGTCCTTCCATCAGATCCTGACTGAAGTGAAAACAAAATTAATTTGAGGGACAATTAGAAAAAAAGTAATGTATACACTGACAGGGCCAGCCAGCAGGTAATGCAAACTGATAAGATTTGTAAAAGGTCAGCAACAAAGTTTCATTTTGAATTGAACAACTTAAATGAATGAAGAAATATCCCATGGGCATGCAGTATGGTTTAAAGGAAGCTTTAAAGGGTTCAAAAAATAACACAACAATGATTCTATTTTTTCAATATTAAAGTTTTATTTTCAGCAATCAACAGTTCATGATAATGGCTAGCCATATTGCATAGGGACAATAGAAGTCGTTGCAATGATATCATAACAGCAAAGACGAACTACATTGGTTTAGCCAATATAAGGAAAACATTCTCAGTACACATGCTACAGTATTGACCATCAGTCAAACCCCATATCCATTTTGTATGCAAATACAATATTCATGCCAACGGTTACCATGACAACTACGAATCTATCAGTGGTTGGCTCTGGTCCGACATGAGCTCCTGAAATCGAAACGGATAAAAAAAAGTCAAATTTTAATGCAATCAGAGGCAATTGAAAACAAAATGGCCAGTAAGGCTGATATTCAAATCTGTTTTATAAGATGAAGCATCAAACCTGGGTAGCTTGTCTTCAGCAGATGCTTAATGAACGTTGTTTTCCCTGTTGAATACTGACCCAAGAGCATAACCATTGGCTTTGCATCAAAATCACTGTTTGTCTGGAAAATGATAGAAGCAATGAAGTGACATGCAAATAATGACGGAAGAGCACAATGAGCATCAAAGTACTTTAGAACAATAAGACCGATACTTCGAACAAAACAAAACTGTGAATGGAATTATTTACCAACAATGGGGAAGCAAAATCATTGTATCTGTAGGCGACTTCCAATGGCTTCAGTTTTTCGACATATAGTCTTTTCAAGCCATCAATTACAGAGGTAACAGCAGTCAGAGGCATCTGCACCTGCAGAATGCCAGATTAAACGCAAAATCAGTCAATTGCTAAACCACAATGCTCCACATACCAGGCAAAATGGTTTGTGCTGTAATGAAAAGCATAGTGAAAGCAGCAGCCATAGAGTTTGAACGAGATTTGAAATTCAACATGGTAATCTAATACCTTCTGTGCTGCTTTTGAACCAAACCAGTGATATATGGAAGGTGCTTGGACCTGAGTGGTGTCTGAAGAGCAGATATAGCCATATAGGTATGTGATGTCAAAGATGATTCAGCCACATGAGTATAACTAGGGTTAAACATATTGGTTACCATTGTCATCTGGGTGAACTCTCTTCACAACAGCCTTGGATCTCTGGAAAGAAACAGTCCATCATAACATCGCAACAATCCATCATAGTATCGTATTGAAAGGGGCAAATTCATTGAATGACACAGAATCTGAAGATTTCAGACTTACAGCCAGTAGCTCATCGACACCTTCCATCACAGGCGGATCCAAGGTGCTCAGGTCTGCACGAACCACCGTAAACAATCGAGTTTAAACATCCACGTCCAGATGAACTCACAGAAGGGGCAAAGGAAGGTCAAGTTCAGTTCACAGCCAACTACCTTCACGTTTCAGACTGTCCTGTGTGATCTCGTTCCCTGCTTGGGCCAGAGACACGAGCTGCAGTTTGCATATCGATCGTGTTAGACCATCAGTCCACAAACCAGCAGCATAACCTCACCATTCATCGTCAGATGCACACGCTATGACTAATGGATGTGAGGGGACGAACCTGCATTGCTGTGACGAACTCGGCGAATCCGAGGTACCCCTGCCGCTTGGAATCCGCGATCGCCCATACCTTAACACGCAAATCCCCAAACAGGGAAATATCAGTAGCCATTCCTCAACGATAATCCTAGACGATATCACCAAGGCCAGGAGAGGAGCAGGAGGAGACCAGCGGCCCCGTGCTCACCTGCTTGAGATCGGCGCGTGAGAGCGCGGACATGCCGAAGAAGCTAGTGGCGTCGGCGCCCGTGACGCGGCCATCGCCATCTGCAACAGAGACCCCACGTCGGAGCAGTAAGCATCAGACCTCCGCGGATTTTTGAGGGCGGCCTGGGAGCTGAGGGGCAGGAGCGCCTTACCTGGGTCGGCGAGGGCGAACCACTCGGCGTAGATCCTCTGGTGCTCCTTGGAGCAGGCCACGCCAGCAGCCGCTCGCGCGATCTCCATCTCCGTCCCCTCTCGCCGCCCCGCCCAGGTGCTAGGCCGCCGCCGCCGCCGCCGCCGCAGAGAGGAGCAGGAGCAACTGCAGCAGCACAGATGAGACAGGAGGAGCCTGACGGGCCGCCTCACACTCGCTTCGGCTTTCCCTCTCGTTTGCGTTGGACGGGGTGGCATTTTGAAACAGAGGACCCCACTTCACGGAGACGCTCCCCCGTGATTTCTTTTATTTTTTATTAAAAAAATATGGCTGGACGCTCCCCGATGCCCATGGCCTGATGATGACTGACTGATAGGCAAATAGGGATGGCATTTGGGAGGACCTGAATTCAAACTTGAAAAATCTCAAACGAAAAGAGAGGAAAAGACATGGGCCTGATATCTGGCCCAGATGGGCCGACGGACCATGGATCATTCAGGTATGGGCCCACCGGGCCGGCACCAGTCAGACTCGAGAGACTACCAGTCTACTAGTACCAGCTACCAGGGTGTTGTGGGCTTGTGGCGCAGCGGCAGACGGACGCCAGGATCTCCATTAAAAAACCTCGGCCGAAACCTCAAAACCCTACTCCCGTCTCCTCTCAGATCTCTTCCCCTCCCTCACACTTCAAGCCCTAGCTCCGCCGAGCCCCCAACCATGGCGTCGATGATGGTAAGCGCCGCCTCCTCGGAGCCCTAATCCGCAATCCGCTCTTGCCTCCACCCTCGCACGCAAGCTCCGATTCGCTGATCCTGATGGCCGTGCTGACGCTTTCGTTTGTATTCCGCAGCAACCGCAGATCATCCTGCTCAAGGAGGGTACGGACACGTCGCAGGGGCGCGCGCAGGTGGTGAGCAACATCAACGCGTGCACGGCGGTGGGCGACACCGTGCGGACCACGCTGGGGCCCCGGGGGATGGACAAGCTCATCCACGACGACAAGGGCGGAGTCACCATCTCCAACGACGGCGCCACCATCATGCGCCTCCTCGACATCGTGCACCCCGCCGCCAAGATCCTTGTCGACATCGCCAAGTCACAGGACTCCGAGGTATCCATCTAGATAAAAATCTTTACCTGGAGCTGTTGAAACCTGCCTCATTGCGATCTATTAGATGCATTACTTTTGTTATGGTACTTGCCAGTTGCCACTGTGGGCAGACAGTTAACAAAATAAGAACCCTTATCAATTAATCCTAAACCATTTCGTGACATTTAATCTTAGTGAAGTAGGATCGGTTTGTTAAGGTGTGATAGGCACACGATTTTGGTGGAATGGACCATAAATTCATAGTTTAGTCATGGATGGGTTGTGCGGTTGAGGCATAAGCCAAGGAATTGCAATTTGAACAGTGGGAATGATGACAGGCCTAATCCATTGCTATCCAACCCACTGATCTCTTCTGTTTGGACTAAGATATGTCGTGTTGTCCACAGGCATTTGGCTCAATGAAATGGTGTCTTAGAGCTTTTGTACCATGTCATGTTGTTGTATTTTTTATTTTCTTATTTGTTTCATTTTTTTTTTCTTTTCTCTGTCGTTTAAGAGCTTCCTCGCTTCATTTTGAGTCATACAATCCTATGTTAAGCGGATGAATTTGACATTCACAGAAGTTTCTTATTTTCTGTTTTAGTCTTGCTTGCAGTTTTTATTTTCAAGTATCAACATTTATGTATCACAACAGTTGAGTCTGCATCTAGTTCTGTGTTCCTGTTATAAAGCGATGATGCTGTATAATTGACTTGCAGCTTTGGCTTCCATTATTTTTTGCTGGATTTATGTTTGTTGGACTATGGAGCTTGGACATGCATGTTAAGCTCAACCTTAAATTTCTTATTTACTCAGGTTGGTGATGGGACAACTACTGTGGTGCTTCTAGCTGCAGAATTCTTAAAGGAAGCAAAACCTTATATTGAGGATGGGGTGCACCCCCACAGTCTAATTCGCAGTTATAGAACTGCAGGCAATATGGTCTGTAACTACCATCTTCTTTTTTAACAGCCAACCTTTTGATTCTCTGCAACTATTTTCCAAATTTGATTATTCATTAACATGAATTTCTGTCAGGCAATCCAAAGGGTTAAAGAGCTGGCAGTTAGCATAGAAGGAAAAAGCCTTGAAGAGAAGAAAACATTGCTAGCCAAGTGTGCTGCTACAACACTCTCTTCAAAACTTATAGGCGGTGAAAAAGAATTCTTTGCTTCTATGGTTGTGGATGCTGTCCTTGCCATTGGCAATGATGACAGGCTTAATCTTATCGGGATTAAGAAGGTGATATTGCAATGTTCTCTTGCAAGATGTTCTGGGTTGAAAAGTCTTAAGATATTAGCTCTTGATATCATTCTGACTTCGGAACTGATATATTAAGGATTGGTTACTGGGCAACCAAGTAAACAATTATTTTCATCTAGAAGGGTTGTACCATTCTATTTGTTTTAATATGTAGAAGGGACATACTTGGGATTCCATTTTTGCTTTGCCTAAAGAAAACAAGCTAGTCATTTAGTTATCGATTTTGTTCCACGAGGTTCTCAGGGTTGGTTTTATTATACAGAATGTAAGGAATTCATTTAAGGGGGAAAAACTATGTTAGGATATATGTTACAAATTTACTGATGAACCAAGCACCGATTCCACTACTTTCTAATAGCTATGATGTTTTTTTATGCTTTATTTTGCCTTTGATTACATGCTACATAGTAGGTATGCCACGTAATATAGTATTCATTTGATTTTTCACTATAAGACATTAATGCCTGATATTTTGATGTATCTTAGGTTCCTGGAGGTACCATGAGAGATTCTTTTTGGTGAATGGTGTTGCGTTCAAGAAGACATTTTCGTATGCTGGATTTGAGCAACAACCAAAGAAGTTCCTGAATCCGAAGATTCTTTTGTTAAACATTGAACTAGAATTGAAATCTGAGAAGGAAAATGCAGAGATCAGGTTATCCATACCGATTCACTCAAACCCCACCTGCTACAGAACAGAATGTGTGCTCCATTCTTTATTTTGTGTTGCTCTATATGCTTTTCAATGTTTGCTTATGCTGGCTCTATTTCCAACATACCTGTAGATTATCTGACCCTCTGCAATACCAATCAATTGTTGATGCTGAATGGAACATTATTTATGACAAACTGGATAAATGTGTGAAAAGTGGAGCAAAGATAGTTCTGTCTCGGCTAGCTATTGGTGATCTTGCAACACAGGTAGCCTGATGTTTTCATTTAACCAAATAAACCTTCTGCTTTTCTGTAATGTATACTTCTGCAGCCTATCTCAGATAATTTGGGTCTGTACAGTATTTCGCAGATCGAGACATTTTCTGCGCCGGCCGTGTCACAGAAGAAGATTTGCAACGTGTTGCTGCAGCAACTGGTGGAACTGTTCAAACTTCTGTAAATAATATCATCGATGAGGTAAGCATGCCATTTTTTATTTGCTTGTGAGCTGTTGAATTGTCTGTTTTTGATGGATTGTTGACTGGAAATTTAGGGTTAATGTCAGCTACCTAGTGCTGAGTGCGAGCTGATTCCTTTCTTTTTTTTTTCTTTTGTAAAGGTACTTGGTTCCTGTGAGGTATTCGAGGAAAAGCAAGTGGGCAATGAAAGGTTCAACATATTTAGTGGCTGCCCTTCTGGTCAGACAGCGACTATTGTGCTCCGTGGTGGTACAGACCAGGTCTTCTATTGAATATTGATACACTTCTGTTAGCCATCATCTGTTTTTAACAACATGTTATGAATGTCCTTACATTTCTTTGATTCTGTGCTAGTTCATTGAGGAAGCTGAACGGAGTCTCCATGATGCCATCATGATTGTGAGGAGAGCACTTAAGAACTCGACAGTTGTGCCGGGTGGTGGTGCTATTGATGTATGTCTGGTGGTCACCTTGTCAACATGGATGATTCAGCAGTTCATAGAATTTTATGCTGATTTTTTATGTTTTGTGTAGATGGAAATAAGCAAGTATCTCAGGCAGCATGCGCGGACAATTGCTGGGAAGTCTCAGTTCTTTGTAAATTCGTTTGCTAAAGCCCTCGAGGTACAATAGTCCTGGTCCATACTTTTCCTTACTAGATTCAGGATTGTGCTTTTATTTATGCACTGCACTCAAAACTTTCCACTAACTTCTTAAGGATACAATAAATGTGCGGCTGCTGGTTTTAAGTTGCATTTAGTGTTCTGTCAAAAAGGGCTATATTGTTGATCGACCATTTGATTCTGATCACTTACATGTGTTACGTCTTATATGTGCAACGTTGTGTCCAATCATTTAGTCATTTTCAATAAAATCATCCTGCAGGTTATTCCACGTCAACTTTGTGATAATGCTGGATTTGACGCTACTGATGCTCTCAATAAGCTCAGGCAGAAACACGCATCTGGTTGGTTTCCTTAAGTTTTATTTTGAATTTAGTCTACAATTTTATTCATGACAGTACAGTTGTGAAGCAGAAAGCTATCTATTTTACTGATGCGTGATGCATGGTTAATTTGTTCAGGTGAAGGTGCTAATTATGGTGTAGACATAAACACTGGCGGAATTGCTGATTCCTTTGCGAACTTTGTGTGGGAACCTGCTGTTGTAAAGGTAATTTCACATTTGGTTTCATTCATTTGCTTTTGGGTATCCATGTATCTTAAGTTCACATGCTGATGTCTTGAGAACTTTTTTGTTCAGATCAATGCTATAAATGCTGCAACCGAAGCTTCCTGCCTTATTCTTAGTGTTGACGAAACAGTGAAAAACCCAAAGGTAAGGAGGCATGCAAACGTCTAGGGTCCATTATAGTAAAAAACAATGCCTTTACTCTTCTTTCGTTTCATGAGTGGAGTTGAGACTCATTTTCTTGTGGCAAATCCTCTTCCCTCCATAATGATATATTGTTTGGCTATCTCTTATGTACTATTTAGTCCAATCTATCCCCTCTGCTGGAAAGTTCTGAATCACTAAACAAAAAATGTCATAGAAATAGTGTAGTAGATTTCGGTACTTGAAAGAACATTTCTTTCTTTCTTTTTGTTCTTTTGCATCTTTAGAGATTGGTTTGACTGCCAAGGAGGCAATGACTCCACTTTGCCACCTCAAATTGCACATGTTCAAACCATAGGTCCATGAAAGCCCATAGCATTTCTCCTAAATTAAGGCTTTGCGACTTTGAATTTAGACGGTCACTAAGTTGTTAATAGATATTTTGGATGTTCCTTGCAAACAATTTGTTTTGTTTAAAGCAATTGATTCTTCACATGAACTAATTGCCATATTTCCTTTCCTCAAATTGTGGGATACTCTAGTCGGAGAGCGCGCAAGGTGAGGCTGCAGCTGGTGCAATGGCTGGTCGTGGTGGAGGGGCAATGCGAGGACGTGGTGGCAGGGGCATGCGCAGGCGATGAACTGAGCCACGTTGATCCTGTAACATTATGTTTTGATCGCCTTTGTGGGTCAGATTATTTTTGCCTGTTCGCGCGGTGCAGTTGTGTCGTACTGCACATGTAATGTGAGTTTATGGACACGCACTTATTATTGTGTGCTTTCGGTTGGGAAGCAGTAGCAGCCTTTTTGTTTCAGAGGAGATACACCAGACGTTTATCCATGTAGCTTTCCTGTTGTGATATAGTAGTAGACCTGAGCCTTTGGTTACAAATTGTTTGGTCCATATCTTAGTCTATTGGCTTCATTTTTTTCATCATGAGAATGAATGATCGTTTGTGATCCTCGTGCGCTCAAGCGTAAAACATTAGGCAGGTGCTAGTACGCTTGGAGCCCGAGATGCTATTTGCTCACACTGAGTGGCTCGAGCAAAAATTTCAGGAATGGGCGTGTTACAGAGCTAATGACGCCAATTCTCTGTGACTAAGGGCATATCTGTGTGTTGTAGAGTTGAGCGCACCTCATCAAGCTCCGAAATTGCCTGCGACGACATTCTTGGGACCTAAAGGGAAGCATCATCAGCACCAATCTGCCTGATCTGTGCAACTGACATGCTGTTCTTCACACAGTGACTGAGGAGGACACATTGACTGAGGAGGACAGGGTAACGATCGGCAAGGGGCTCCTCGGACACCCAAGCATCATATACCTCGATCAATAAAGAACCAAACAAATGACACTAAATCAAACAATTTAGCTCCAAGAATAACTCAAACCAGGGTGTCACTCACAGCAGCAATAAGACTCAATGTACATGATACCCACGTCATATAGATAGTATATAAAAATTCATTTGCTAAATTTAGCCCACATTCGCAACCAATTAAATGGCACACCTACAATAAAGGTATTGGTTCGATCAGTATTTTAAGAATATATATGCCCTTTACACAATTCAGGACTTATACTACTCCATCCGTCCCAAATTATAAATCATTCTAACTTTCTTAAAGAGTCAAAGCATATCAAGTTTAACCAAATTTATATAATAAAATAATAACATTTATATACTAAATAAGTATCATTAGCTTTATTAATTATATTTTCAGAGTATACATATTTGATGTCACCTTTTTTGCTTTTTTTGTTTTATTGTGCCGTTCATTAGTTAGACTATCTCCAACAATGAAATGCAAACCCAAAATACGTCCTCTACAGTGGTTTTGCCTACCAAAAATGCTCTCCAACGGGTCACCCAGACGTCCGACCCATTTTGCCTGCCGACGGAAACGATACGCAAAAAAAGCATCTCCTCTCTCCTCAGTAGGCAAATCTCCGATGGTGGCCGCCGCGAGAGGAGTTGACGAAGGAGAGAGCGCCGCCATGGATACATTGACGAATGGATCTAGGTGTTCACCTTGCTTGAAGCCGCCGAGGGGGAGGGCCGGTCGGCGGGACACGGATGCCGGAGGGGTGCTGCAGAAGGGGCGCCGCCTGGCCGTCGGTGGCCGGCTCCTTCGCGCTGGGAGGAGGCAGCAGGGAAAGGAGCAGGGGGCGTCGGGGCGAGCCGTGGCCCGGCGAGGGGAAGAGCTGAGTCGAGCTGTCGGGGGGGGGGGCGCAGTTGGGGAGGTGCTGGCTGCCGGCTTGCCGCGGTGGTGGCTGGCGGGAGGCGGGTGGAGCCGTGGAGGGTGAACGCTGGCGGCCGGCCGCGTGACACGCGAGCTTCCGCGTCGCGTCCCGCCCCGCCTGGTGGAGCTCAGGAGGAGGATAAGGCGCCGCCGCCGGCCACGAAATGCCAATGTTGCGAAAGGCTCCATGGCGGGCAGCGCCGCGGCAGGGATTTGGGGCTCTTCTGTTGGAGAGGCGAAGCTATGGGGATGCAACGTTTTTTACTGTACATTACCCAAACCGTGAAATGGGTCTCAGGTTTGGAGTCAGTCTTACTGAACCCTAAAGCCCATTCCAGTCCAGGCTCCAGGCCAATCGCTAGCTCTAGTTTTTGCCGGCCGCCACCACCCACGCACCGGCATGGCGCAGCGCGCACGACGCACCACACGAGCTGACGAGCGCACGGCCACAGTGGCCGCACAGCCGCCGGCGGCCGGCCACCCACTCTAGCAAGATTGCGAGACTGTGACGACATCGAATGCGGCGGCGTACGGCGGCCTCGGGCGCTTCCTGCGGCGTCGAGAAGCTGCGGACGGGGTTCGCCATTCGTGGGCTCGGCGTCCGGGGATCCGGGCAGCCAGCGACCGTGAGCGACGCGACCTGACGTCACCTGAGGTATGTTCTTCCCCGCACGTTCCATCCTCATTTGGGACCCGACGTTCCTGCTTGTGGTTGCGAGTCACGTTCCATCGTCTATCGGGACGGCGTCCCGCCATGTTCCCGCGAATCGGAACGAAGTGGGCACGTTCCCGTTCCCCGGCTGCTAAGCGCCCATCGCCTTCCCGATCCCGACCTCCCGTGCCAGCCAGCAAGGGCGGCGGCGGCCTGCTGCCTGCCTGCCTGGAAGGCAGGGAGCAGGGCGGCGGCCAGCCTGCCTGCCAGCCAGCAAGGGCGGCGGCGGCCTGCTGCCTGCCTGCCTGCTTGGTACGGGATATTCTTTCTTTATACTTATATAAAGCAACATGTCAACGCTCGACGAAGTCGTCGTCCTCTTCGGCTGACTCGTAGCAACTGTTGCCTCCATATAAGCACCATGTAAAGGCTTGCTGTCTGCAAACATTATACAATCACCATGGTGGTGCTCCTCATAAAGCCTCTCTTGAGCATGCTCGCATTCTTCCTCATTTGCCTTGCCACATTCGTGGCACAGACCTCACTGGCTCATGGAGCAATCGCCGACTCCGACCAGCTCGCGCTCATGTCATTCAAGTCACTCGTGAGGAGTGACCCGTCGCGAGCCCTAGCTTCGTGGGGCAACATGTCCATTCCCATGTGCCGGTGGCGCGGCGTGGCGTGCGGCTTGAGGGGACATCGCCGGGGCCATGTGGTGGCTCTGGACCTCCCAGAGCTCAACCTGACTGGCACCATCACCCCTGCGCTGGGAAACCTCACTTACCTGAGGCGACTCAATCTTTCATCGAATGGCTTCCAAGGGATCCTGCCTCCAGAGCTCGGTAACATCCATGACCTCAATGTGCTGAACCTAGGTGCAAATCAGTTCTCAGGAACGATCCCTAGTTCACTGGGAAACCTCTCAGCGTTGATGATTCTTCATGCTTTCGGAAATAACTTTGAAGGAAGCATTCCACCACTACAACACCTCTCGTCTCTTAGAGTTCTTCGATTGGGGAGGAACAAACTCCAAGGAACCATCCCTTCTTGGTTAGGCAACCTCTCTTCATTAGTATTCCTAGATCTTCAGCAAAATGGTCTAGTTGGTCAGATCCTAGAATCATTAGGAAATCTTGAGATGCTTACACGACTTTCTCTCTCAGTAAACAATCTTTCAGGCCCCATCAGCATGTTTGCTTGGTCGTAAACGATCGTAAATTTCCAACCAGAACAGTATTTTCTCTCACACCAAACCAGCCAGCAGTAATAATCCACGATCGTATATGATCGTTTCAGCCCCAGCCGAACAGGCTGCATACCTAGTTCACTTGGCAACCTCTATGCCCTCACTAGACTTGGTCTTGCCAATGATGAGTTGGAAGGCCCTTTGCCCCCTTTAATGTTCAATAATCTTTCCTCCCTCGAATCTCTACATATAGAATACAACAACTTGAATGGGACTCTTCCACCTAATATTGGAAACAACCTCCCGAATTTAAACTATTTTCTTGTATCAGACAATGAATTTCAAGGCATGCTCCCGTCATCCCTTTGCAACGCCTCCATGCTTCAAGCTATTCAAACACTAGAAAAGTTCCTATCGGGAACGATTCCAGAATGCTTAGGAGCTAAACAAACGAGCCTGTCCTCAGTGTTAATTTCAGGAAATCAGTTTGAAGCAACACATGATGCTGATTGGAGCTTTGTGGCTAGTCTGACCAATGGTAGCAACTTAGTTGAACTAGATGTTAGCTCGAATAATCTCCGTGGCGTGCTGCCAAATTCAATCGGTAATCTCTCAACACATCTATACTATCTCAGCATTGCAAACAACAATATAACTGGAACAATAACAGAAGGAATCGGTAACCTCGTCAACTTGCAAACACTTTCCATGCCTCATAACATTCTCATAGGTGCTATTCCAGCATCTCTCAGCAACTTTAATAAGTTATCCGATTTATCTCTGTACAATAATGCTTTGTCTGGACCCTTGCCGGTAACTCTTGGCAATCTTACACAACTAACTAGACTTCTCCTTAGTACAAATGCTATAAGTGGACCTATACCATCTACTCTCAGCCATTGTCCTTTAGAAGTATTGGATCTTTCTCACAACAATATTTCTGGTCCGACACCTAAAGAACTCTTTTCCATATCAACCTTGTCGAGTTTCATTAACATTTCTCATAATTCCTTATCTGGGTCTTTGCCATCAGAAATTGGAAAACTAGAGAATCTGAACGGACTTGATTTATCTTATAATATGATTTCCGGTGAGATTCCATCCTTCATTGGACAGTGTCAAAGCCTAGAATTTCTCAATTTATCAGGAAACATCCTTCAAGGCACAATTCCACAGTCACAAATCTTTGTTATTTTTTTAATTAAATTGTGCCTAAATTTATCTAAATTTCTAGCAGTACATAGCTAATAGTACAGTTGTATGGGCCGACGACGAGCACCTATTTTCCGAGCTTACCAACACCTATGAAGATCAGAGTGGGGCATGTTCGGTGGTGCACAAGTCGACGTTGGCCTCCCCATTGACCTGTCCTCACATCAAGCAATGTTAGCAAGCAAGTTATAAGTGTATTACTCTCTCTGTCCCTTTTAAGTCGTTATGATTTTTATATGGGTCAAACTTCTTTTAGTTTGACTAGGTTTATAGAAAATATTAGTAGCATTTATATTATGAAAATAGATTTAATGATCTATCTAATGGTACTATTTATGTACCATA